AAGTGCACACATGTGGCTCTTCCTCACTGAAGGTCAAAGTTATTAATGCTAACAAGATTCTCCAGGTTATCTCATGCTCAGTGAGGATATCCATATCTCAGACATGAGGATAACCTGTAATCCAAGAAACAGGAAACCTTCTCTCATGGAGTGTCCAGGCCATGTTTCCCAGCACTGCTGTTCAATCAGGACAATCAGAAAAGATTCTTTGCCCTACTAGGAAAAAGTCTGAGTTCTTCCACTCCCATTTGTGTCTTTCAGAGCCTTATTTATCTAAGTGATACCAAAGCACCCTATATGACAGAGGCCCTTAAAATAATGCTGTTTTCCTTGGACATCTGAATATTTATATTACTGGAGAAATGTATTCTCTTATGTTTAAGGAAGCATTAGGGAATAATAATGCAGACTCTGACTTAACATCATCTAAGGTTGGACTGGCAGCTCTGGAAAGGTTCTAGTGGTATGGGCTTGTGGCTCAGGACTTCAAACATATAAGCTGTAATTTTTGAAACCTGTTTTTTAGCAAGCTGATCCGAGTGCAAGTAAAGAGAGACAGCAAAGTCTGGGAAAACCTTTAGTGACTGAATTTTAGATTGTAAACTCTTTAGATTGGTGTGTATGAGCTGCAAGAACCTGATTGTGATTTGCTCCTCGAGTAACTCTTGCACAGAAACTGCTGTAACGTCGCAGCGTCGCTGTGTGAACGGGGTTTGAGAGCTGGGATCAGGACACAGTGAATCATTCTGATGATCATTTCTCAGAAACAGGACTGGCCTACTCGCTCTCTGAGAGGAGAAAACCTTATGGCACCCTACAGTAATTTCCTTGGATTTCCTGTTTTTTGACTCCTTTTATGAACCCACGATGACATTAGCTGCAGTTTAAAAATGATAAACAAAACCAAACTTCTTCGGAAGGCACATGGGATTAGAGAGGTTTTATACTTAATACAGTAATCCTCTTTTGGAAATATATCTTAGGCCCTTAACAGTAAGTTACTGTTTGGTTCCTTGTTAAGAGTAAGATGATGTACAGTTTGTTTCTTGGCAGTGTTAGTGCTGGCAAATCTATCAGCTAGGATAGCTGATACTCATGTCCTGTATCTACAAAAAAAACCCAAAACAAACTCAAATATACAGTGGTAAAGCCAGTCCAAGAACATGTGTGCTCCAGGGACTGGCCAGTTTTCAAAAATTTTTGTCCTTCCTCTTCTTCTGCTTATATTTTTGATTTTTTTTCCTTTAGTTTTCAAAACACTTTCATCACTATCACCCAAGAAGGAAACTCCTGCTTTGCAATTTTACAGCCTGCAGTGTGCTCCATGTGCCTCAGACACATGAGCATGGTTCCCATTTAAAAAACACTGTTCCTTCTTACAGCTCCAGAGTAAGTTCCCTCTCTTTTGGTGCCGTGGTTTGGATTTGTGTTTCAAGGGGTGATGCTGTTGCTGTCTCTTTTCACTCCCACAAAGATAGTGGGGTAGGTCCCTCCCTCCCTGTCAGCAGGGAGCTCTCTCCAAGGGAAATACCAGTATTTGTCGAGCTTGGTTTCTTTTAAAATTGTACCAAGTTGGCTTCTTAAGAGGAGTTGGTATTATGGATAGTTTGCAGGGCTATATCCCTTGGGAGGTTGAAACACTGAGCCCTGGTCTACCTAACCTGTATGAGCAGCACCTCAAATGAGCAGTCAGAAGTGCAGATGCCCCTTTAGCAGAAGCAAATTTATTCTTCTGAGGGCAAGAGGTTGTCCTCCCACTGCTAACCTGAAACAGAAGATGGTTGAGTGACATCTGTGAGCTCACTGGGCAAGGTGACATCAGAACTGGGACTGCACCCATTCCAGGGAACCCAGCCATTCTGTGTCATTACTGACTTATGCTGTGTTCCTAAAGGCTCTTTAGTTTTATGGCATAAGGAGAAAAGGGAACACAAATTAATTAGTAGGCTTTTCAAATTCATCTTGAGTCTGAGCAGGAGTAGCTTTCTGAAATGGTCTTGGAGCAGCTGTACTGTTTAATCTCAGCAGTATATTTCCTTCAGTTTTAAACCCTGAAATCATTAATTTAAGTGCAGAGGATCATAAAATCTCTCCCTGCTCAACATTCTGTATCTTATGTTCATTTCAGAGGCTTTTATAGAATTTTATTTTTATGGATCTTTCCACCTGAACTGAAGCATTGTGAGGAATTTATTCAAACAGCTTGTAGTTGTATATGTATATATCTATGTATAGGTGTGTATATATGCATGTGTGTGTAGTATTTTGGCATATGATTACCTCAATACCATGGTTCAACAAGCAGCATTATTACAATAACAAAAGAGGTGTCTGTAGTCCCATAGGCATCTTTAGAGACCAAAGAGTATGAGGTTCCTGAACTCAGCCAAATGGAACTGTTGGTTGTTGAAATAGTCTGCTCTGTGCAGTATTAAATAGTTTAAAATAGTCTTTTTTTTGGAAAAAAAAAAATTGTTCCAGAATTTTCTCATTTCCCAAATGCTTTCATGGACTTTTGATTGCATTGGTACAGGTGTATCAATGAAATTCATGGGGTGGAAAGGCTCTCCTGGCCAGGCAGGTCTGCACAGTGCTGTGGCCATGGAAGCAGCACAAAGCCAGACAGAGCTGGCAGCAGTGTTTGTTCCTGGCTGGCCAGAGGTCAAGAGTAGTGTTTGCTATTTACTGGGTGCATGGTCAGATTTAGGCCTTCCTCTTCACCTGCTTCAAACTGGACCTGGTTTTGTTAAAGGAGAGGTTGGGCTCCTCGACATCCTCTTGTACCAGTCTTAGCTGGGGCTACTAAGAGAGTTTTTAGGGGAAGGCTGTTTTTTAGGGCCTCCAGCACTTCTGCATGAGCCCATGTCTCTGGCTGCACAGTGGGATGCTGGATGAACTGAGTGTGCAGGGCAACCTCAAAGGCAGAGTGAGGAGTGGTTTGGCCCTTTCAGTGGGAGGAAAAGACAACTTGCCCACTGCTGTGGAAAGCCCTTGGCTGAAACAGGGAGTGAGTCTCATTATTGAGTTGGGTTGCTGCAAGAGAAATCTTTGTTTCTATCCTAAAATATCTTTATTTGTCACTAGTGAGGCCACGTCCATCCCAGGCAGAGCACTATTTACTCCCATCCTCAGTTCAGGGCAAGGCCACGTCCATCCCAGGCAGAGCACTCTCTACTCCCATCCTCAGTTCAGGGCTGGTTCTTCCCTCTCAGAACCTATTTCCATGTTTCTCCAACCTCTGTGCAGGTTTTACCTTAGCCTTTCAGAGGTAGGGAATTGCCTCACAGGCAGAGCTATCGCAGGCTGTCCATGTGGGGTGGCATCAGCACTTAGGCCATGTTGATAGAGACATGTGGCAGTCAGAAAGACCATATAGACTTCCCATCTCATGGTCATTTTGTATTTCTTTTGTTTGTTTTTTTTCTTAAAGGCATTTCATGGCCACTAGCCTCTCTTTACAAACGTGTGCACAGAGATTGATCATTTGGGTCTGTTTGAGTATGATTTGTTCATCAGTACTCATTAGTTTGCCAGCTGCAGTGGAAGGGGAAGAGTTGCCATGTTAGTCCCTTTTGGGAGTGTGCAAGCCTTTATGGAGTTTTGTCCTCTGCTCAAAACTCCATGTCCATGGTTGAACCTCTGATTGGTAGCACTTGCATGCCAATTCTTGGGCTAAATAAAATAACATTATTTGTAGAGCTCAGGATGTAGTAGGCACTACTAGTGTTTGTTGTTGTTTCCTTCTCTGAGTTCAAGGGAGGAGAAATCCTCAGTGTGGTGTCCTGTCTCCATCTGGTACAACAATGGACACATTCTGTGCTGTGGGTGTGTCCAGAATCTTTACTACTGCATCAGATAACTACAGAATGGTATTCTCTGCTTTCTTAGGTATTCCATACTGACCACTGGTGAATACTGCAGGCACCCTGAAAGTATTTAAAAGCACAAACATGTGCCTGCTACTGTCAGATGGAATTTCTCAGTCCAGTAAAATACCACGCTAATGTAAACATGCAGATGAACTGGCAATTGCTTTTTATCTCATCTGCAGGTTGCTAGTGAGTTGTTAATTACCTGGGGCTGAATGGAAGTGATTCAAATGGGCAACTGTCAAATGATGGAATGACTTTTTTGTAGTCTCGCACATTTTGTATTGCTGTATCATTCTGAAAGTGCCACCCATTTATTCAGGGGGACAGAGGAACAGGGCAGTTGCAATTTGGAGCTGAAAAGAGAAACACAGCAGTGACTTGTGTGATTGTCTTGCTGGGTACCCTTTAAGACAAGACAGGATGGTATAACTTGTATTTATCTCAGATTTTAGTTCTTCAGTGTCAACTTTGAGTTACTTTGTAGTTTAACCTTGCAGGGATCTAATCTCCTTTTGCTGTCATCTACTTTTCATGTACTTGTTTCCCACTCAGCTTGCCACGCAGCACTTCTGTAGTGATTACCTAATGCTGCAGTTTCCCTCCTACTTAGGTGGAGGTCCCTACCATTTCTGCAACACTGCTATTCTTCTTGCTCACTGGGACTAAAAACCAGGGCTGAGAGATGGTGAGCCTGTGAGCTGACTCCAAAATCCTGCTTGCTTGTCCTGCATCAGGCTGTACTGTTGCTGGAAGTGACTTTGTTTGGATATGCTTAATTGCTGCCTGCATTTCACAGGGACATGTACATTTCTGACAGAATGACTAAAAGCCTAAGCGTTAGTCAGCCTGATCTGTAAATTGCTTATCACCAATATTCAGCCAACTTATTCCACAGCAACAGAATAGGGAATCCCAAAGAAGACCACTTGTCCTCTCAGGCTGACTCAGATTGCACAAGAGTGAGGAGAAAAGTCCCCTGCCAAGCAAAGCTTGTGTGTTAGACATACCCAAGTGGCAAGTCAGTGAGTTGGAGGCTGTATGGGTGGACTGTGACAGAAGAAAACATCCTTAGGCATGGTTTGTCACTCCTGCTAACCATTGTCCCTCTTCTTCTCTTCTCTTCCCCAGGAACGAGTGGAATATCTCTTTCTCATAATTTTTACAGTGGAAGCATTTTTAAAAGTAATAGCATACGGACTTCTCTTTCACCCCAACGCTTACCTCCGCAACGGCTGGAATTTACTAGATTTTATAATTGTGGTAGTAGGGTGAGTACCAACATTTTGTCTTTGAATGCACTGCACACTTAGGGGGAATGGCAACCTCTGGAGAACAAGGGTGGTATGTTATGTATGGATGATGTTAGAGGTTCCATCATGGGCCTTGGACCTTCACAGGCTTGAGAGGTGAGCTGATGCAAACTTCATGGAGTTCAACAAAATGAAGTGCAAGGTTCTACATCTGGTCTGTGGCAATCCCAGGCACAGCTACAGGTTGGGTGGGGGAAGTAATTGAGACCAGCAATGGGGAGAAAGACTTGGGGGTGATGGTAAATGAGAAACTCCCCATGAGCTGTAGTGTGAGCTCAGCCCAGAAACCAACCCAGGCCTGGGCTGAGCCACAGGAGTGTGGCAGCAGGTCAAAGGAGGTGATTCTCCCCCTCTACTCTGCTCTCATGAGACCCACCTGGAATACTGCGTGCAGTTTGGGGCCCTCAACGTAAGAAGGACATAGAACTGTTGGAGCAAGTCCAGAGGAGGCCACAAGGTTGATAAGAAGACTGGAGCATCTTTCCTATGAGCACAGGCTGAGGAAGTTAGGGCTGTTCACCCTGGAGAAGAGAAGGCTGAATGGAAACCTCATAGCCTGTCAGTATCTGAAGGAGCTACAGGAGAGCTGGAGAGGGACTCATTCTTAGGAACTGCAGTGACAGGACAAGAGGTAACGGGCTCAAGTTGAAGGAGAGGAAATTTAGGCTAGATCTCCTATAAATAATAAAAAAAATTTGTTATTCTATGATGATGTTCCTCCTACAACCATTATTTAATAGTTTGCAAAATATGGAAATTAAACTGCAATAAAAAAAGGAAGCAGTGCAAGACTGTTGGACAAAGTCCTGAATATGCTTAACTGCTAGAAAATTCCTCTGTTTTTAAATCTGTATGAATATTGAAACAGCATATCTAGGTGGAATCCTTTAATCAAGACTAAGAGTTGATGACAGATAAATCTTCGCGTCTTGTGAACTTTTGCAGATGTTTCTCATTCTGAAAGATGGATGAAAAATTTAAATCCCAGGTTTTCATACTTACAAATGAAAAAAGTTCCTCAGTTCAATTGCACTATTCAGCTGGTGATTTCAACACTTTTAATTTTGACCCTTTAAATGTTTTAACCTTTTTAAGGACTAATTGTACTATAGTAGATCAAATTGCCACTCTGAGCAACCCTTTTAATCCCCTTTTTCTTCTCCATGTTTTTCAAACTTGGCATTTAATTTATTTGAATAAAACCAAAGTAATGCACCTTCTGCTTCTTCTACCTAAGGGGAAGAGATAAGCAAGACATTTGAATGGTGGTTGTTGAAGGGAAGAGGTGAAGGATGAACTACCATTGAAGACAGAGAGAACAAGTATTTCTTTGCCGGAGTAATTTGTCCCATCCTCCCACCACTTCATTGTTAAAGATTTTCATCGCCCACAAAAGCTTGAAGTCTTTTCACCTCCTTACCAAGGAAACCCTACATCAGCTCCTGGGGAAAACGTTAAAAGGGACACTCCTAATCATCAAAATTTCTGTCCCAAGCCAAAGCCCATCTAGCTTCTTGACCATTTTTGTGGTGGCCCCAAAATATGACATCAGCAAACTGCTGTGTGCTACCAATCCCTCCCTCTTTTCATCATCATAGGGAAAAGCATTTGGAAGGAGAATTCCCAGTGAGGTGGAGGGAGGACAGACTGCAACCTATTCTTAGTCTCAAGACCTCTCTGACTCCACATGGGCATAACTCTTCTCCTTACAGCAATGCCCTATTGTCTTCCTTCTTTGTTCCTACCTACAGCCAGAGGATTCCATAGGTTATTAGTAATTGAAAATCAGAAAATCCTCCAGCCCCTCCCCTGGCATGGATGTCCATTTCCATAGTGTTTCTGCCTTTGAATGTCCTCAGATATCTCATCTGCTTGGAAATTGCTGCTTAAGTTGAAGAAAGATTAAAGAACAAAAGTCCTGTGATTGTGATTGTTCCCTTTTCAATTTTATGGGGAAGAGACATTTTAAGAGAGAACACTACCTCCTCTTCTTCCATGGGAATGTGAGAGAGCAGAGCTCCAGAAATCACAGAGCAGCATTATATCTGGTTTAAGTACAGACGTTTTCGATTTTCCTACAAGGGCAGTTAATCAGCAAGATGATATTCAGGCTCAAATTAATTCCCTTGCCAATGAGAGAAGCTGCAGCTCTCAGCTCTTCTGTCTGCTTTTGCCTCCAGCAGCTCCCAGTCACTAGATGGGGAACAAAAAATGTAACTGGGGAGGGATTACATGAGTATAATAAACATGGCCAAGACCCCAAGGTCTCTGTTAAATAGTAACAATCTCAAGTGACAGATTCCACTTCAAGGCTAGATGGGTTCCTTTGATGTTTATCTGTTTGAACTCACTGGTACAGTACCACAGCCTAGGCTGGTGTTCTGCTTTCCCTCTCCACAGCCCCTCTGCAAAACCTACGTGGTTATACCATCTGTTCCTCTTCTGCCCTGCCTTCTTTTCCTAGGGGCTGTCTGAAATCCCTCAATGACATTATGTTTAAATTTCAGTGTATTTGAATATTTTGCCAGGGAGGAAACCCCATGGGAAAGGTTTAAAATAAATTTTAAAAAGAGGGAAGAGGAAGAAAGTGAATGCTGATAACAGTATTTCCTTGGGGTGCCTTTTTCTGCCTATTGCTGGGGCTGTTGGAGAAAGCTGAGTAATTTGGAGATAGCTGTAGCACTGGACAGAGGGATTTATTTGGTATGTGGGACAGAGGATGGTGTGGGTCTAATACTAGAAGCATCAAGTCCTAGGATTGTGGTTATTGCCATTTGTGCTTGCTCTGCCTTAGGAATCATCTTAATTTTCAGTTCTGACTGTCTTTGCTGCAAAACACAGAAAGACTGGGTGGGATGTGCTTCAAGTACTGTTGGAAGTGAAAGGAACAAAGGAAAGACAGGTTTTAGATCTTTTAAATTCACCTATCCATGTTTACCACATATAACTTGAAGAGATAACAGCACAATAGACTTTCTTTACCTTAAAACAAACAAGTCAGTTGAGTAAAAGGGCAATGGACATGTGTAGGACCAGGTATAAATTTTCGAGGGGAGTCAGAGTTCTTGTAAAAAATCTTTATAACAATGTGCATGTATACTTTCCCCTGCCTTCTGAAGATAGGTCCACTGGTATCCAAAAGGGTTTTAGTCAGTGCTTCTAACAAAGCCACAGGAATATGGAACAGCAGCAGAGGGGAGCCCTGAACACAGCTGCTGTGTTGTCTGATGGAAGGATGTGCTTTAGACCTATGGACTTGTAGCAGCTTATCTTTCTTGGAGTGTGGGAGATCTGCTTATTCCTCAGTTATGCCTTTTAAAGCATGAGTCTACCTTTTCTGTAAACAGCCTATGGCCTTGCTATAGCAGCACCATTAGATGCTGCTTTGAAGAGAACTGACATTACTAGCTGAGAATAGAGACCACCCCCCTAAGGTGCCTAATGAGGCACAACCCACTAATGGTCACTCAAATTCTTTCCTGCTTCTTTACTTTTACTGTTCTTCTTTTGGAAAGCATTAACACTTTGAGATATCACAGTGATGTCCTTTAATATTAGGCAGTTGGAGGAAATTTCTCTTGAGAGAAGACCAGCTTGACAATGTTGTGATAGGAGAGTGTGTTTCCTGGCAGTGCTGTGGTTTGTCTGCCAAGCACAGTCATTCTCCAAGGACCTGTGGCTTCTGCCAGAGAAAAGGGTGTTGTGGTTTGAAAGGCAATCTTACTTGGGAAGGTAAGCAGTGAAGGTATTTGGAAAGGATCTGAAATCAGAGCTGACTGGAAAATGTGGTCACAGTGTATGTTTTGCTGAAGACTTGTATGGAGTTTCTAAAGGGTAGATCCCAACACTTTCATACTCACAAATCACAGGTAAACTGTAAAACACTGTGATAAAAACCCTTTGTATTTTACTTTTTTTTATACCTAGGACAATTCTTTCAGCTATGTTTTTCTGCTGGTTTTTGTCCTTAGAAGTACTAAGCCCTCTGTTTTCTTTTTGTATTCTGGAGGTCCTTGACAAGTTCTTTTTTTTTATGCTGTAAAATTCATGGTGCACTCTCCACAGAGGAAGAGATGAAGAGTTGAGGAGCAGGTTACAGCCTTATTATGCTGCTGTTGGGATCATCTAGCAAAGCAAAACTCTTTTTGATATTTCTAATGTCAAAAGCAAAACAGAAAACTGCAAGAAAGGAAACTAGTGAAGCTAGCTTCATACCTCACAAGTAAATATAACCAAACCCTGTGGAGTGTGTCCATACATGCATGTGTGTGATAGAAAGTTTATTTTCTGCTTCATAGTTCATGTCTGTCAGATGAATTTGGTTTAGGTGTAGTCATGTCACAAGTGAAATTCAGCAGTCAAGGTACTGTTAATTGTGCTTCATGAGCAGAAAGTACTACACCCAAATGGAAATGGGACATGAATTTAGGCTGGCAGAAAGTAGTTAGGTGGAAGGAAATAAGATGGATTTCTAGATGGTTTTTTTAATGGTGAGATTTTCAATGGCCACAAGAGATTAACCCTCATGCATTTTTGTGCCCTCCAAAGTATGATCTGTCAGCACAGTGTTCTCTCACACTATGCTTGTAGCATGCATTTCAGCTAACTCACCTGCAGAGAAGCAAAGAAATGCACCTTGCTCCACCACACCTGCTGTAAGCATTTCCCAGATGTTTTCATCAAAGACCAGAATGTCTCATGTAAATATAGGGTAGAAATGCTCTAGCCTCATGTTTTCTATCAGTAGCTTAACACCCATCCAGCTATTTTAGTCTGGCAAAACAATTAGCTGAAAAACTAAGAGCATTAGGTAGCTGTAGCCTCTGAAACATAGATGTCTGCCCATGCACTGAGGGAGGTGGTGGGGACCAGGGCAAGCAGGGTTGGCAAGATGCACTATAAATTTGAAGAGTGGAGTAGACATTCAGTAGGCCACATTGAGCACAGTCTAGACCCCAACACAAAAGGCAAAGGGAGTGACATAAATGAGAGAAAAGGTTGTTATACATTGGTTAAAAGCAGGATTAGTACAGGGGAGATATTAAGCATAGAGTAAGTGCATTAGAGCAGGATTAGCAGGAATAATGCAATTCAAGTGGAAATGGAGGTTTTTTAAATGAGGGGCAACAAGAAGTTCTGCAAAATATTCCTGAAGTACAGTAGGCAGGTGACTGTGGGTACCTCAGAACAGCATGTTTAGCATGTCAAAGCTGGAGCACACAAATAGGGTCAGCTGGCCTGCAGTGGAGCTGCATTAGTCTGGGAAGGTAGGTTCTAGCTCCAGAGGGGTGAGCTGTCCTACTGGTTGTGTTCCTGCTCCTCCTGAACTAATTTAGGGCATGTATAGCTTTGCTTAGGCTGCAGAATTCTAGAGCAGTCTGTGGTTTGCTCATTGCATGAGTGGCACTAGAAATGCCCCTGGTGCCTGATGCTAAGAGCTGCTGTTTGGTAAAACATGGGGCCAGTGAAAATGGGAACCAGGAGAATGCACCCTCAGTTTTGCACAATTGGTGACTCAGAGTTCCTTGAGATTTCTTGTCTTGGAGCTGAAAAACAGCATTAGAGCCTTTTTGCAGTAATTTCTTTTTCCTCCAGAGGATCCCAGGAGACTGGGACTGTTGTATAGGTATGTCACTCATCATCTAGCATGGGAATTCTGCTGACTAGGAAGATAGAAATGCTTGAATGTGAAACAGCACATTGCTAGAGCTTAATCACTAGCTTACTGGAAATGCATTAGGCCAAATTTGACCTACAGTGTTTCTATTATGAAGACCAGCAGAAAATTGTAACTGTATAATTTGTGTACAAGCTCAAGAAATACATACATTCCAATAATTCATGCTCTTTACATCAGCCCTTGTTTATCTCTCTCTAGGGTATCTGTAGTCAATGCAGTATTTCTCATAGGCTCTGTTTTTGTCTTCCCTGCATCCTGCTTCTCAGTCTGCAACACCTACAAACTCAGCATCCAACCTCCCCACACACAGCTTTTCCCACGCCTGTTACCTAGTTGTTAAATCTTTCTGCAGTGCTTGAAGTTGAGGCTTTGAATAGATCCAGTTAGGAGTTCCTCAGTCACAGCTGACAAGTTTTATAAGACTCTTAATATGAATTTTTTTTAAAAAACCCACTGCATAAGAAACGAACTTCACATTCGCTCTCCCCTAATCCACATTTTTGCGTGGATTTAGTGCTGGGTGAAAGCTTAGATGCTTCAGTAAATGAATCCTCCTTTTCCTATCCAGGGCAAGCTCCCTAGGTTTGTGGCCAGTGCTGAATCCAGGCCACTCCAACTTGATTCTTTTTGACATCCCACACAGTTTCTTTAAAGTTGTCTCTGGTACCCCCATGACACTCTATGGGCTAAGGGGTCTCTGCCACTCCTAGGCAAGTGTTTCCTACAGAGCCCCAAGCATCCATTTAGACTGGAACAGCTTTTAACCTCTACTGAATTTGGCTGGGTTCAACCTGATGATTTCAGGGCTGAAAGCAGTATCATTAGCAAATTCATGAGCAAACTGTCCTCCCCCAAAGGTACTAATGTTTTACCAGAAAAATAGAAGCTGCTTCCTGAAAGCTAATTTATTAAATCAAGTTCTTATTAACAGATAGGGTGAGCCTTCAGCTCTCTCACAGAACATCAGTGCATTTTTTTGCTTTGCTCTGCCTTTTTAAATGCATTCTGGGTGAGACATCTTCTCCTTAAAGCAGCTACTCCTACTATCCAAGATAAAACATTAAGGCCAGTATAATAAAACATTCTAATAATAAGACTCCTACAGTTTTGCACTTTCTCACGCCAGTGCATCAGGGGATTTACAAATGGGTACACAAGCACATAATGTGTGCATGGTCCATTATCTAAAAACTTGTACATTGAAGGATCCCTGAGTTTTACACCAAGTTCTACCTGCAATGACCTTCATGAATCTTAATTACTTGTTAAATGGGTGACAGATAATTAATTGATTGGATTAATGAAGGGTGATGATTTATTTCCCCAAGGTGGATTGTTGGTTAAGAAAGATAGCAGTGTCGGTAGCCTATAGTTGGCTGCAAGGAGCCATTAGGCTGAAGGAGAATGTCATGTTTATGTCTGCTCCAAAAACAAGCATTTTGCAAATGGTATAGACATCACCAATAGGCTACTGCATATGGGAAGAGTCTGTCTCTCCTCCACCATATGTGAGTGTCAACTGAGATGTGTGACACTCTTCACAGGTCTGTGCGATAGTTTGGGTGATATGATGATCTCTGTTCCTGTTTAGCCCAAGCCTTGCTGTCTGCCTACAGATTGTTTCCTCTTTCTTTTTGCAGGCTTTTTAGTGCAATTTTAGAACAAGCAACCAAAGCAGATGGGGGGAATTCAATGGGAGGAAAAGGTGCCGGATTTGATGTTAAAGCACTGCGGGCGTTCCGAGTCTTACGTCCCTTACGGCTGGTGTCTGGAGTTCCTAGTAAGTAACAGCATTGTTTCTATCTTAAGTATGTCCGTGGTGTGGCATGGGCAGGAGCAATTTGTGAAGAGGAGCGTGATGAAGGTTATTTTTGGTGTGTGTGGGAAGCCTTTTTTCAAGTTAATATATTCGTGATAAACGTGATATTAATCAAAGGATGACCAAACCGGCGCTGAAGGGGAACGAAAGCCTAACGGTATGTCAGTCTGATTGTGCAACCTTTGCAAACAGTGAAAGGGGAAGAGCCAAGATTTTTGTGATTTCAAGCAAAAGATCCTTTAAATAGTTGTGAAGTCATAGTGCATCGTTGGTATTATAAATTCTTGACCTTGGTGGAAATGCTTTATGGTCGTGTGTGTTGATTTTGGAGGGAGAGGAACTTTTTCATTAAAATTACATTTTCTTATTTGCATGTGATGTTCAGATCAAAAGTACTGGGAACAATTTAGAAGCAACAGGACATAGGGCAATGACAGAGTCATGTTCTCTGTTAGTCTTTTTTGCTGAAATGATTTGTAATGCCTTTGGGGGTTCTCAAGCAGCCTTTGATAGTCTATCATCCCTTTTCTTATTTACAATGAAGGTATGAGTAACTAAGTCTGGTAATTCCATTGTGGAGGTGGAATATGGACACGACAGTGTGGGAGGATTGTATCATTTGGCTTGAGAGTTTGTTAAAGATAGGACCTGTTTGCCCTCTGAAGAGAGGGTTAGTTGAAAACTGCCGTTGCTTTCCAGGTTTATAGCAAAGAGAGATGTGGTTAGTGGAAAAGGAGCTAATCTTCTTCAGAATAGCTGTAGAGGGAGCTTTGTCTATTTTTATTTGAGGAGCTTGCTAGTTTGATATCTAAAAGTACTTCTAACCTTAATCATTCAAAACCTTGAGTCAACTTAGCAAAAACTGTGAGGTCAACTTAAAAATTGTGATTTATTTGTTAGGAGCAGAAGTGTGAGGTTCTTGTTCTTTGGCTCATTGTAGCTTGTTCGAATATAACCACTGGGTTATAATAGAACCATGCTCACAGGCTTTTCTGCACACCCATAAAGGGCAGAAACCTTTTAAATGGAAACTGATAATCTCTGCTAAAAGCAAACAAACCCGAGGCAGTTGACAGCACTGGTGTTTGCTCTCAGACTAAGCCATGCTCGATAGCCTGTCCTCAAGGCCTCAGCTTCGGCCCAGCTTAGGGTTACTTTGGGTGTCAGTGGGTGAGTGAAAAACACTGAAAAGTAGAGCTTAGGGTTACTTTGGGTGTCAGTGGATGAGTGAAAAACACTGAAAATTAAATGTTGTCTATTAGGCAACTAAGAACCTTCCCCTCTGATACAGAACTAACATCCACTGTGTACCCCACCTCTGGTAGGGATTACTGCTGGGGGATGTTTCGTTCAGGTGGTCGTGTGCTACGCAATACCTCCAGGCCGTGCAGAATGCAGCTCTGTTTTTGGCCAGATTTGTCTCATGAAGCCTGTTGTCTGTAGTCTTCCCTCTGCACTAGAACACAGTTAATTCTTGGCTGTAAATTAAGGTTTTGTTGTTCTTTCCTAGTTCTTCTCTAATCTAAGTCTTTTGGCACTTTCTATTTTTGTTGTTCTTTCCTAGTTCTTCTCTGATCTAAGACTTTTGGCACTTTCTAGTTGTGTGCTCACTGTATGGTATAGGAAAGTTACTTGAGTTTAAACATCTGTGAACTGGAGTGTTCTGGGTGAGATGCTGCTTATGTTTTTGCTGTTTTGGAGAACAACGTGTTCCCCAAGACAAAAGGAAGTTTTATTACTACTGTACAAGTCTCTTGGCTAGTTCTCTTGGAGGACTAGAGGAAGCTGAGGGAACCAAATCTGGCACAGTTCGTATCCATGTGCATATACGATCTCGATCCCAGCGCAGACTATGTAATAGCCCATTTGTGGGGTTTCTCATCAAGAGAAGTACTTAATTTGCACCGGAACAGAGCCAGGAGCCTGGTGCAGGCTAAAAATATTTGGTCTAGACAACAAAATGCTAGTGCAGTGTGAATTAGGCAAACCATCAAGTTGACCTGACAGACATCCTCTATTAGTCTTTATGGTTCTGGCTAGGGACGTATTTGTTGAACGAAGCTTCTTTGGGGCTGGTGTGGCTTCTCTAAAGCCCACTGAGGTCTGTAGCTAATCCAGCCTCAATCTTCACTGGGCAGTTTTTAATTGTACAAATGCCTGTTGATTAGCCTAGAATAGATGTTATCGCATCCATATGTATTAGAGCGTAACTTTTCTCATGAGGCCTTTTAGATAAGATTGCCTAAGCTAACCATAAATAGTACATTACAGGATTACATTCTTACATAAGTTAGTGCAGAGGTTTAGAACTCAAATCTCTGGGTCCTGTTCCAGTTCTGACCCTGAGATATCATAAACACCAGTGGGTGCGTTACCAACATTACACTTGCAGTGTTTTGCCATTATAAAGAAATGCTTTTTCCTTCCTTCCCCTTCCAAAATGCAGTAGATGTTTCCCCTTTGAGGAGACAAACTGCTCAGATTTGTCCTAAAATTACATGAATGTAACATGCACTGCAGTTTCTTCTCACTTATCAGACTCTGTAAGTGTATGGAAGCAGCATCTCATTAGTAAGAGGAGATCCTCTGGGTCATTGGCAGCCACCTTCTGCATGGAAATTCCAACATCTGCTGCTTGGCTTGAGGTCCAGATCTAACTACCACTATTTGGAAAAAAGTGTGTAAAGCACTTATAAACCAAATTCGTGGAATACATGGTGAATTTTTGCATGCAAATCTTCAACTCATCAGGATTGTTGTTGGGAAATATGCTGTCTGAGGTGGAGAGAGATTGGCTTGCAGTATGGAATCTTTTTTTTTTCCTGAGTCACAAGGAGTTTTCTTGAATTTTTTTCTCTCTGGCTCAATCCATTGGAAATAATCCAGTTTAAGAGGGCCATCTTCTGTATTCAGGTCCGTGCATTTAAAAACCTGTCTCAGAATGTAGAGAGTTTCCATATAAGGTTGATTTGAAGTAGGGGAAAAAAGTATTAATTGCCATGGGAAGTAAATTGCTGGTGTCTGCAATGTGCAGATCAAGAGACTGAAGCAAACATTCAAGATTTAACACTTCCAGAAGCACCTTCAAATTCTTTGTGTCTCATATTGGCTACCAGTGCTAGACAACTAGATCAACACAGCTGTCTGAAAGGTTCAGATAGATGGATAGAGGATGTTAACCTCAGAGCTCAGAATCCCTTTTCTCCAAGTCCCATGCATGCTTAGTTCCTGGAACTTGACTGTCTCTTGCCAGTAAATATCTCAATTAATACATTGGGACTGTCCTGTACAGTACGTGGTTCATCAGTGAGCAAAACTGGTTCACCCACAAGCAGACAAGCAAAGGTGCCTTTGACAATCTTTGTTAGAATCGAACTGTCCAAGGCCTCAAATTACTTTAGTGCTTCCTAAAATCGAAAGGGTTTGAGGTCATGAATTCACCAAAGCCTGAAGACTACATCTGGATGACTGTCATGGGCACATCAATATTTCATCGTCTTTAAGAGAACAGATGATGCTTTTATGCTTTGTGGTTCCATGGATGTCCAGAAGACCACTTGGCATAAGGAAGAAGACAGACATTTTGTTTCAAAGATAAGACAGACATTTTTTTATCCAAGTCACAAAAGCAATTGTAGCATTATAGGAGAAGCCTTCAAAGGCACTAAATTGAATGTCTTCGGTTTCCCAGTGCACCTTCAAAAAACAGTGTTAAGTATTTATGCATTTTCAAGCAGTGCAAGAGGGATTGATTTAGTTTGGGTTTGTATTTTTTGTGAGTTTGATTTTTTTTTTTTAATTTTTTTAAAGTAGTTTGAGTTCTTTTTGTGAAAACTTTTTTCTGAAGTGAGAAGTACAGTTTTGGTTGTGCCTGCATGAGGTGCATGGCAGAGCATTAGATGACAGAGGGAAAACAATTCTCGTGATGGACATAAGTAGACAAATGCAAAATCAGCATGTCTACCAAAACCTAATCACTTTAGTGTCTTGGAAACTGTTACCCAGTATCTGCTTTGGCAGGAGTGTAAAGCATTGTAAAGCTTTCTAGGGACAGAATCAAGTCAGCCCTTTTGTGCTAAGAGTTTTCTGTGGATCACTCTTCTCTCTCAATTTTATGTAATTACATATTTTTAAACTTGTTTCAAACATTTTGTGCTTGAGGAGGGCAAGAAGAAGCTTCCAGTTCAGCAATGAAGAAGCATGAGCCAATTAAAAAAGAAATTCACTCTTGACTGTTGGAAAGGGCAATCAGTTACTCCTACGCATGCAAACTCACGCCCTTTTAACTTCCTAAATTCCATTTCTGTCACCTTTATTCGTGCCCCTCAATTATAGCACCTCATACATTCTGTTCAGCATCTTTATGTCGTACTTTGTCTTAATGTAGTTGCATTGTTGCCTCTAGTTATTGTCTATCTGATATTTGCCAGGCTTGATTGATAATCTCTTCCAGACAACCTGTAAGTTGTTTAGTTTGAGTAGATGATGTGCTCTGTATTTGTATTTTCATTGAGATCCTCTGTTGACCATACAGACTTAAGTGGGCAGAAGACCTTGTTATCCTTACCAGAGCTGGAGAGGAAACTTGACTGTCCCACTAGAACAAAAACTTGTTAGCATTTTTTCTTTGATGTTTTATTTTAAAAGACACAAAAAGCTAAGCCTGTGATGTATTCAAGCTTCACTGGAGTCTTATAGCAGGAGAGTTGCTCAAAGGCAGTACAGGTAAGCTCTCTAGCACCAGTACTTACATGGTCCACTGGAGATGCAAGAATTGCATAACTGGGGGAGAGGGTATGAGTAACTGGCTGAGCATGATTTTAGTTAAAATTAAGTAAGAGCAGAATTTTAGTTGTGAATGCCTAGAGATGGCTACCTTTACATGCATTTAAATAATTAACTAGAGCAACTATCTTTTTTTGGAATGATGCTTCTATTGAAGTCCGTGGATAATCTGAGTT